ATCATCATCATATTGCCCCTCCTCCTCCTCCTCCTCCGCCTCCTCCTCCACCTCCCCCCCCTCCTTTTTTTCCTCCTCCTCCACCTTCAGAAATGAACGCAGCAGGGTGCCTTTGCCCTAGCTGCTGTTTAAGACAGCGCGAAGCGCAGTTCAAACCGTGGGAATCCTCAGGGCCGCATGAAGCCCGGGCGCGAAGCGGGACAAGGGCCGGTGGACCACAGGACCGGACCCGAGCTACTAATTAGATCGGCTGTCAGCACCCAAGGAACCACCGTCACCGCCAGGAGGGGGAGGGAGGTTGTCGGCGTCGTCGAAGTCCGCCCCGCCGCCCGCCAGGCCGCCGCCCGCCGGAGGGAAAGGGGAGGGAAAGGGGGGGGGGGGTCCAAGTGGGCCCCAGGCGGAGAGAGCGCGTCCGCGAAAACCCACCCGCCGAGGCCAGCGAGCCCCTGCACGATGGCGATGCCAAGGCTGCACGCCATCACCTGCAGCTGAGCCCGACGATGAATGGAGCCCCCAGCAGCCTTCGTGATCCACCCCGTGTTCGCCGCGACGCGAGGCTGCGCCCCCCACTAGGCCGGCGCGACCCGCGGATTCTCCCCGAGTTCGAGCCGACGTCCAGCAAAACGCGGGCACTCGGCCCAGAAGTGCCAAGCCAAAGCCTGGGCGCGCCCGCAACCGAACGGGCAAACGCACGCGCCGCCGCGCACGCGGGCCGGCGCGCACACGGCCCCGCCCCTCCAGACGGCGAGGAGAATCGCGTCGCATCGGCTCAGCGATCGCCGGAACTGGGCCCACGGCGGCGCGCTCTGGGCAGCCAGATCGATATCCCCGACCCCCTCTCGTCGCGCCGCGGCGGGGGCCCAGGCGCCGCCCGGAGGCGAAGCAGCGCCGCCAGGGCGCACTCCCGGAGAACGCGCTGACCGCGATCGGACGAGGCGTCGAGAGCCCTCTGGGGGGGGGCAGGGGGAGGTCCCAGGGTGCCGTTTTCTCGCTTCGCGGCTGTCAGCGGCGGCAGCAGCGGCGACCGCCGCCGCGGCTCGGGGGTCGAGCCCTGGGGCCGGCAGCAGCCAGGCGCCTTCGGGGAGCGACCCTGTCGCAGCAGGGAGAAGCCCGAAACCGCCGGATTGTTCCGAGAGCGCCACCGACAACAACCGCGACTCGGGAACCCCCCGAGCAGCCTTCAGCACAGCGCACGCCGCACCGAAGACAGGATGCAACGAAATCCGCTCTGCGTACCATCGCCGACCGCACCACCAAGTGCAGCGAGTCCGGGCAACGTACCGAAGCGCGAGCGCGATCAGATCACATGGCGGGATCGCGCTGACTGAACAGAGCCGACCACCGATGTCTAGGAGCGATGCACACTGGGGCCTCGAGCTCCCTGATCCGCTGCCCGCCGGGGACCGCGCGGAGCCGGCGCACCTGTGAGCGGATCTGGCCCCACCCGCCCCGAAGCTCAAGCAGCTGGGGCCAGGTCGCGGCGTCGCCGACAGCGCCCCGCACTCCTAGGTGTTCGGCGCTCTGGGTGCCCGACCAAACCTGCCGCTTCCTCATGTTCCCCGAAAAGCCGAGCCGCCCGTCGATCTCCGCAGCGATAGCTGAAGCCCGGCCCCGATCAACCGCCGCGGCGGCCTTGAGGGAAAGGTCGTCCACGTAGGACCACGCGCGCGTCCTGGGCACCGAATGGACCGCGGCGTGCCAGGGGCAGAGCACCAGACTGAGGACACGGCCCAAGGAAGGGTCGCCGGGCGGCAGGCCCCGAGTAGGGTGTAAAGCAGCAGCAGCAGCAGCAGTGTCCCCAGCCACAGAGCAATAATTACCGGGGGGGCCCGCCAGACCGACTCCAGGGTAGCCACGACCGGAGAAGGTGTACCTTGGTGCCTGAGGGCGGCGCCTGCGACGCCGTGGCCCACCGAGTCGCAGGCCCGGCTCAGGTCGACCTCGGTTCCCACGTCGCCGGGCGCGGCGGCCCAGTCAGCCACGGAGGCCACGGCGCCGCTCTCCCCGAACGCCTCGGCAGGGGGCGCGGGAAGCGCGTCGAGGAGGCAACGGCCCCAAGCTCGCATCCAGACCGGCCCGATCGCGATCGGCCGGGCGTCGTCGGACCCCCGCTTAGGGATGCCGACCACCCGCAAGGCCCCGAAAGCCCGCGTGCGCTCATCTGGCCATGGGCTGGCGTCCCCCACCGGGCGACGACGACCCAGTCCAGGGGGGCGCCTCCAGAGTCAGGCACCCACCACAGCTCCCACTCTCCCGCCGCATATCCTCAGTCGAAAAGACTGGGACGGGCGCGGGTTCCCGCATCGTCCGCGCGGCCACGGCCGCAGTGCGGGCGCCCCACTTGCGGAACTGAGACCGCCACGTCTTGAGGGCGCGATGCTGGGTGACCTTAGCTTCGGCAACGAGCGCCTGGGACAAAGCTTGGGCCGCCTCGCCAAGGGTACGGGGGAGGGGGCTCAGGAGCAACCCATCCTGGCAGGCAGTGGGCCACTTGCGGGCAACCCATCCTGGCAGGCAGTGGCCCACTTGCGGGTGACCAGGGGCGGCAGAGGCGCCGCGATGCTCGCGGAGCTCATCCTCCCAGCCGCCACGACCAACCTGTGGAGCCGAACCAGGCGACGTTCGCGGATCGTGGCCTCGCCCCGCGTGGGTCCACAAGGGGCCACGGGCCGCGTTTCGGTCGAAACGCCCTTCCGTCGTTCGGCTCCTCCTCCTCCTCCTCCTCCTCCTCCTCCTCCTCCTCCTCCTCCTCCTCTCCTCCTCCTCCTCCTCCTCCTCCTCCTCCTCCTCCTCCTCCTCCTGCTCCTCCTCCTCCTCCTCCTCCTCCTCCTCCTCCTCCTCCTCCTCCTCCTCCTCCTCCTCCTCCTCCTCCTCCTCCTCCTCCTCCTCCTCCTCCTCCTCCTACACCCCACCCCCCGCCTGGCCCACCCTGGGCCCACCCAGGGCTCTCGGCAGATCGTCCTTTATGATGTCGGCCTTCAGGTCCTTGAGCAATGTCAGGACCTTCTCGAGGGGCCCGCCACCTGCCGCCAGGCGGCCGCCGCGGGCTCCCGTGGCAGTGAGGAGTCTAGTCAGCGCGATCGCGGCCGCGAACCGCGGGCCCAACAGGCAGAGCTGCATTCTTCCCTCCAGGGGACTGGGCCAAAGCGGCTTCAGGAACGGAGGGAGGTCGCACATGCGGCACCACTGCGAGGCCAGCAGCGTGGCGGCAGCCGAGCTCAAGACCATCTCGCACCTGTGCGACACACACTTCTGGGAAGCCGCCCGTGGCGGCGACTGGACACCGACCGTCCTGAAGAGGCTCAGACCCTACGGTGGCCTGGGCGCGTGCTGTGCTTCAAACGCACGCCGATCGCCTGACGTTCACACTCAGACTCGCACTTCGATGGCGGGGAAGCGGAGGCCAACGACGGACGGACGCAAAGGCGAGCAAGAGGAGCGGGAGGCAGCGGGAGCAAAGAAAGACGCGCAAGCGCGCGCACGGGCTCGCGCCCTTTCCTGGCACGTGAGCTACCGCTCGTCCCCCAGGCATCGAGCAACTGACAGTCCGCCCCCCCTGGCGGGCGAGGCTTCTTGCCCCGCCGGCCGCGCGGAGGCGCTGAGCCCGCGGCGCCAGCGGCGTGGAGTGCGGAGGGAGGCGCACGGCGAAGTTGAGCAGGGAAGCAAGGTTCGGCGGCAACTCATGGGAGCCTCCCATACCATCTTGCCGATTATTGCGAATCGACCCTGGTCGACGCTAATCGACGCTGGATCGACGCTAAATCGACGCTCATCGACGCTAACCGACGCTGAATCGGCGCTGTCGCATCGACTCCCAAACGCTAATCAACGCTGATCGACGCTAAACACGGAATTCTTCAGAGGGTACACCAGGCTCCCATGCCTTGCTGCCGAGGCCAGGCAGTGGACCGCACGCGAGCGGCAGATCTGGGAGGACCGGCGACACCAGCGGCGCCCGGGACCCGCTGTTGCAAGAGCACGGCACGGGCTCGGAGGAGGGGCACGGGGAGGCCGCCCCAGAAAGGAGCCCCGGTCGGTACCCGAAGGCGGTGCCAACCAGCACACTGGAAAGAGAGATCCGGGCGTCGGGGTACCGCGTGGGAGCTGCCCTGGAACAGGAACGTACCTAGAAGAGAGTGTGATCCACCGACGCTTTACTGTGGAAAATTCCCCCCCTCTTCCTCCGGAACCCAGGGGTCTCCCCCCTCCCCCCTCCGAAAATCCCCCCCCCTGCTGGAACCCCCCCCCCCCCTCCCCTCCCCCGGCAAAATCAACCCCTCTCCCGAAACCCCTCCCCCCCCTCGCCCTCGAAAACCGAGGGGGGTCACTACTGGTTCGAACCACCCCCCCCTCGAAAATCGGAGGGGGGGGTTCGAACACCTCCCCACCCCCACCCCTCACCGCCAGCATACGACTCCCGGTCCCTACCACCGTCCGCACCACATGACCCACTGTTGTTCCCAGCACCACTGTCCTCACCACCACTGTCCCCACTGGTTCCACCACCGTCCCTATTGTCCCCACCAGTGCCCCCACCACTGTCGCACTGTCCCCACTGTCCCCACCACTGTTCCCACCACGGTTCCACTCTCCCCACTTTCTCCACGGCCCCAACCACTGCCCGACTATCCCCACTGTCCCCACTGTCCCACTGACTCCTCCGCTGTCCCACTGAGCTGTCCCACTGTTCCCACCACTGTCCCCACTGTCCCCACCACTGTCCCCACTGTACCTCTGTCCCATTGTCCCACCGCCGTCCTCGCCACCGCCTTCACCACTGTCCCCACCACCACTGTACCCTCCACTGTCCCACTGTTTCCACCACATTCCCACTGTCCCCACACCACTGTCCCCTCCACCACCGTCCCTACCACTTTCCCACTGTCCCCACTGTTCCCACCATTGTCCTCACCACTGTCCCCACCACTACCGTCCCCACCACTGTCCCACTGTCCCCACCACTGTCCCACTGTCCCCTCACCAGTCCCCACCACCACCGTCCCCACCACTGTCCGCAACCCCCGCCAATTTTCGAGGGGGGAGGGGGGGTTCGAACCGGTAGTGACTCCCCCCGGTTTTCGAGGGGGGGGGGGGGTTCGAACCGGTAGTGACCCCCCCCCCCCTTTTCATGATGGACACGGGGGGGGGGAGGGGTTCGAACCGGTCGTAAACCCCCCCGGTTTTCCGGAGGGGGGGGAGGGGGGAGGGGTTCGAACTGGCAGTGACCCCCCCGGTTTTCCGCCAGCAGCGGTAGAACACGCTCTTTCGTACCTAGGGAACCGAACAATGACACAAACATAATTGACTCGGAGGTCCGCGCGACTTTCTCGGATCGGCGCTGGGGCCCCCCTGGCGGCGCCGACCCGTTCTCCGGCTTTGCATTGCGCCGAACGCAGCGTCAGCGTTGTACGACTCCACGTCGAATATGTCAGCACACGCTGCGACAACCCATGTGTGTATAGACGACTGTGACTAGAACGTGAAAGCGGTATTTGGCATAGGCCTCATAGATTGTTGTGCTCGCCCCCCACATGATCATACAATTTCGCCTTTCCGTAGTATTCTTCTTATTCGTATCATTATTCCTCTGTGCTGTCTTAGTTGTCTTCGTATTCAGCTTATTCTTCATCTTCTTATTCGGATTATTCCTCGTTCTTTCGTAGGCGTCGTCCTCATCGTATTCCTCGCCTGCTGCTGCCGCTCGTGCCCCTTCCTCTCATGAGGAGGAGGAGGAGGAGGAGGAGGAGGAGGAGGAGGAGGAGGAGGAGGAGGGGGACGAGGACGAGGACGAGGACGAGGACGAGGACGAGGACAAGGAGGACGAGGACGAGGAGGAGGAGGATGGAGGACAAAAATAAAAAAAAATGAAACATGGGATGGTAGAAAAAGCATGGAAAGGGGAAGCAATCGCATGCAACCTGTGCCACGAGCAAACATAGGTGTTCAGGCTCAAAGCCCCGCTACAAAGCCCACGGCTTGGAGCCATGGGCAACGCAGCAAAAGATATCGAAGCCTACTACAAAAAGCTGGAGAAAAACAGAGAATACCAAGCCAAGCAAAGGCTGCGCGGATTCCCATTGAAAGCAAATACAAACGGATTCCTATAGCGAGCCTCTACACAAGGATTCCTATTGAAAACCTGTGCAAAAGGAGTCATATCGAGAGCATCTACAGAATAATTCCTATTGAAATCATCTACACACTGATTCCGATTGAGATCCTCTATGCAAGGATTCAAATTGAACGCAAATACGAAAGGATTCCTACTGAAAGCCTCTACAAAAGGATTCCGATTGAGAGTATCTACGCAAGGAATTGTATACAAACCGTTACAAAAAAGATTATGGTTGAAAGCTTCTACAAACGGGGTTCATACTGAGAGCCTCTACAAGAGGATTCCGACTAGAAGCATCTGCAATAGGATTCCTCTTGAGAGCGTTTACAAAGGGATTCCTATTGAAACCCGTTACAATATGATTCCTATCGAAAGCAAATACAAAAGGATTCCTATTGAGAACCTCTACAATAAGATTCCTATTGAAAGCTTCTACAAACGGGTTCCTATTGAGCGCCTCTACAAAAGGAGTTCTATTGAAATCCTCTACAAGAGGATTCCTGTTGAAAGCAAATACAAAAGGATTCCGATTGAGAGCCTGCGCACAAGGATTCCTACTGAAAGCCTCTACAAAAGGATTCCTATTGAGAGCATCTACGAATGGATCCCTATTGAAATCATCTACACAATGATTCCGATTGAGATCCTCTACGCAAGGATTCAAATTGAAAGCAAATACAAAGGGATTCCTACTGAGAGCCTCTACAAAAGGATTCCCATTGAGAGCATATGCGCAAGGATTCCTATACAAATCCGTTACAAAACGATTACGGTTGAAAGTTTCTACAAACGGGTTCCTATTGAGAGCCTCTACAACAGGATTCCGATTGGAAGCCTCTACAATAGGATTCCCATTGAGAGCGTTTACAAAAGGATTCCTATTGAAACCCGTTGCAATAGAATTCCTATTGAAACCCAAATGAGAAAGGAGAGTCGGGCCTTCTGGGGCTTCCTGGGGCCTCTTGGGGCTCCCGAAACCTTCTGGGCATTAAAAAACCAAAATTAAAAAACAATGACCCCCCCCCCTCCCAAAAAAAAATCAAAGACCCAGGGCTAAAAAAAAAGGAAAAACAAAGAAACAACCCAAAACAAAAAAAAATGCAGCACGTTCTCCGTGAGGGCGGCGGGGATGGGGTAAGTCTTGAAATCGTTGGGTTTTTTGTTTTGTTGGTTTTTCATTGTGTGTTTTTGGTGTTGCAGCCCTGGGTCGTTGGTTTCTTTGGTTGGTTTGTGTTTTCTCTGTGGGTTTGGGGTTTTTCAGTGCCCACGCTCCTGCAGGAGGAGGGGGAGAGGGAGGGGGGGAGGACAAGCTAGGTGCGCTCGCGTCATATCTGACGTCCTACCCCTCCCTCCCATCCCTTACCATGGCGCTGATTTTCCCTATCCGCGGACGCGTGTCGTAGCGGACCTGTGGCGCCGCGCGCGCGTGCGTAGTGGGTGGTGGTGCGCGTGCGTGCGTGCGTGCGTGTGTGCGTGGTTGTGGTGGTGGTGGTGGTGGTGGTGGTGGCAGTGGTGGTGGTGGTGGTGGTGGTGCTGGTGCTGGTGGTGGTGGTGGTGGTGCTGCTGCTGGTGGTGGTGGTGGTGGTGGTGGTGGTGGTGGTGGTGGTGGTGGTGGTGGTGGTGGTCGTGGTGGTGGTGCGGCGCGGTGGTGGCGGGCGGATGGGCGCGCGAGAAAGAGGCCCGTGCTGGGGCGAGAACGCCATCCTGAACGACGGAGGCCAAACACCGATCCGAAAATGAGGCCCACGCTGCAGCGGGAGCAAGATTCGGAACGATTCGGGAGCAGAAATGAGGCCGGCGCCTCAGCGAGAGCAGCATGTTGAAAAAAACGCAGGCAAAAACCCAACTCCCGGGAATCCTGTGTAAAAAAACAGTACGCGGGGGGGGGGCGGCCACTCCCAGCACGCCATCAGGGGAAGAGGGAGAGTAGTATTCATATTGAGTAATTGTGGACGGGGAGCAGGATAAGGAGGATAGGGGGGGGGGAGGCTGCCACGCTCCTGCAGGAGGAGGAGAGGGAGGAGAAAGGGATGAGAGAGAGAGGGAACGAAGAAGAGAGGAGGAGGAGGAGGAGGAGGAGGAGGAGGAGGAGGAGGAGGAGGAGGAGGAGGAGGAGGAGGGGGGCGAGGACGAGGAGGAGGAGGATGCAGGAGGACAGGAATGGGAAGATAATGAAACATGGAATGGAAGAAAAATCATGGAAAGGGGAAGCAATTGCATGCAACCTGTGCCACGGGCAAACATAAGTGTTTAGGCTCAAAGCCCCGCTACAAAGCCCACGGCTTGGAGCCATGGGCAACGCAGCAAAAGATATCGAAGCCTACTACAAAAAAGCTGGAGAAAAGCAGAGAATACCAAGCCAAACAAAGGCTGCGCGGATTCCTATTGAAAGCAAACCAAACGGATTCCTAGTGCGAACCTCTACACAAGGATTCATATTGAAAGCCTGTGCAAAGGATTCATATTGAGATCATATACAGAATAATTCATATTGATACGCAATGATTCCGAGCAAGATCCTCTACGCAAGGATTCTAATTGAACGCCAATAGAAAAGGATTCCTATTGAGAGCCTCTACAAGAGGATTCCTATTCAGAGCATCTACGCAAGGATTCCTATACAAACCCTTTACAAGAAGGGTTATGGCTGAAAGCTTCTACAAGAGGGTTCAGCTTGAGAGCCACTACAAGAGGATTCCGACTAGAAGCATCTGCAATAGGATTCCTCTTGAGAACGTTTACAAAAGGATTCCGATTGAAACCCGTTACAATATGATTCCTAGTGGAAGCAAATACAAATGGATTCCTATTGAGAGCCTCTACAAAAATATTCCTATTGAAAGCCTCTACAAACGGATTCCGATTGAGCGCCT